CACTCGCCGAAGCGGCTTGTGCAATTTCAGCTTTTTGAAAAACTCACTCGTGCAAATTAATTCCAAATTGAACTCGAAACCGTATGATTACCTACACAAATTATGTAACACTGAGGTTTTAAAGGCGTGATCAGAAAAATAATGAGTATTGTCCAGGCAGTACCGGTTTATGGACGGCATACGCAGACAGTGAGAGGAACTGTAAGCATTACCGGGTAATTCAGTTAGTGCTATGCTTATGACTTTTTGTACTTGGATTTTGTGTCATTTAATCACAAGAATAGGTAATGAAAGATGCATTAGTTGATGCAATTTATTTTTGAAGGCAAACTTTGAAGTCTCCTTATGCTGGATACCAGCCATGTGTAAAGTGAATGTAAAGCAAACACACTGTTAGCGACGTACGTGCATGTTAATCTTGAATAATCTGAAATTTCAGAGAGTTTGAAAATATGTCATATCTGTGACGGTTCTGAGGTGGAGAGCTGTTACATGTACATGTAAATGGCTCATGCTCGATTTTTCACTTGTTGTGATCCAGCTGCCAATATGTTCTGTAAATTAATATTAATAGTCATCTGTTGGTGTGCAACGATCTACACCAGTATTTAACCTAATAATGTACAGTGTATATTAATTAACCAAATTATGCTGTTTTCAGTTGACCAACGCTACTACATTGTAATGTTATGTGGAAGTGCACAAATTTACCAACATGCCCGGTGTCAACTTGTCAAATGAATAAATTGGCCAGATAGTCTAGACCACAAAATTTTCTGAAAGTTGGCATTACCTGGTCAAGAGACCATGATCTAACAGAACACATCCCCCATACATGGGCCTCTTCCAATGACAATCTTTTTCAATCTAATTTAAGCGTTTGGTCAAACTGTGAGGCTATTTTAGGAAAGACACCGGATTGGCCAATTTAATTGACATAATAACTCTGAAGGCCGTAATTTTAACAGTTAATCATGTATGCAAAAACTTGCACCTGGATCTTTGGAGCGCAGTTCATAAAGACAGAGGGAGAAAAATTCTAACCGTCTGGCACTTTAAAAGAGCTTTCCAAAGCTATCTCATTCGCTTTAGGCCGTTCACTACTATTCGAGAAACGACTTTCGAACGTGTTTATTGGAATGCAATTCTTGTCAGCGGCCACGGCATGGTGCCTCATGTGAATCAGTTGCACTCAAATAGCAAGAAAAACTCTCTTCAATCTACGCTCTACAATCTACCATTTAAGCCCATCTATGTTCTACTCTCTACGTTCTACCAGTTACTTGGTCTACGCTCTACGATCTACCTTCTAACCCATCTACGCTCTACTCTCTACGTTCTACCAGCTACTCGCTCTACGCTCTACAATCTACCATCTACCCTCTAAGCTCATCTGCTTGGAAGGTTATTGGAATTTTGTGATTTTTTTTTTTTTTAATTTTTGACAAAGACTAGTGATCCTCTTGAGTACTGGAACTTTATCAAATTGTTTGAAAACAGTATTGTGAGCAATGAGGCCAGCGAAAGTGAAAAACTCATGTATCTCCTTCAGTATACATCTGGAGTGGCAAAGGACACGATCAAGTGTTGTTTAGTCATGGATTCATCCCTGGGATACCGAAAGGCGAGAGAGCTGCTGGAAGAACGATTTGGACACCCCTTCACAATTGCCTCAAAATACGTAACCAAGTTAAAAGAAGGACCAATGCTTAAACCATGGGATCTCGCAGGATTGCTTGCATTTCCGGACAGATTGACAGACTGTGAACACACTTTGGAATCCATTGGATATCTGGAGGAGATTAACAGCGCAGAAAACTGTTAGAAAATTCAGAAGAAAAGAAGAAAATTCAGCAAGCTGGTCAAAGAATGAATATCAGCCATATCGCGGAGTTTGTCAAAGTCAAGGCGAGAGCTGCCAATAACCCAGTGTTTGGTTGCGTGGTAGACGTTGCGCATGACAGATCAGAGAATCAGAGGCGAAAACCAAAGGGTGGTGCATCATCTGAAGAACGTTTAAGCACAT